GTAAGACCTAAGAATAATTATTATGCTCCATTCAAATGAGATCTCGTTTCAGTTTCGCTTTCTAGTTCGTTTTGTTAGGAAGATATTGAAATGAGACAGGTATTTTCAAATAATTTTAGGAGCACATTGAACTTATGGTATTGTTCGATAATAATGAATAGAATCTATTGTCGAATAGTCGCAAAGGAAAACGACTTCATAAATCTGTTATTTGAATAAGATATTTACTACTCAAGTAACAATAACCATTATATTGCATCTACTCGTGAAATCATCGAATTCTGTTTTTCCTGCGCGCTATTGTAATGGGTGTCAAGGAAATATGATAAATGACGATATTTGTTATTTTTGTAATATTTAAACATTTCTTGATAGAAATTGAAAGCAATTTTTTTTTTTGGAAATCGCGGAATACTAACTTTTACTCGTGGTTACTTTACTTACATGCTACTTACACATTTTAAGGAAATAGTGTCTTTTTCCATTAGCTGCATTTTTTCAATAATTTCAAGATAGTGTATTACTTTTTTACAAATTTTTGGCAATATAATGAGTTTGTTTTTTATGCTTTTTAGTAATGAATTCAGATTAACAATGAAAATAAAAAGAGTCAAAAAAGATAAATATACAAATCGATGGAGGAATTTTGTGATGGATGTACGTGCAAAATATTCCTAAGAAAGCCGCGCCTACAAAGTACATATAATGCAAAGAATATATTTTCTCTTTTAACGAGCCACAACCTAAACTAGCGTAATATTTGTTCTTCGTGAATTTCACGAAAATGAGAGTGCCATTTGCTCGAAAATAACAAATTATTGAAAAAAATTAACTGTATCAAAAACTCTATACTTAAAAATTATATAGTTTAATTACTTTTGCTGCCATTCTAATATGAAAATTAAAAATATTGATGTGAACATATTGGACAGCTTTTGGGACTCCAATTTTTCTGATGCTGCTGCCTCTGCAAATTGAATTTATATTTAGATGTTTATCCTAAGGCCAAAAACCAAGAAAATTAACAATTCGGATTTTCTGGAAAAAATATAAACTCTTTTAGTTAATAAATGCATTTATTCTCTGGGCTTCATTTGTATTCTCATTACGATATTGCTCTGATCTTGCTTTAATGTAAATAAATTTTATTCTATTGTGAACGCGTACTAAAATACTTTAAAAATGAAGAACAAATTACGATTTGAATACTAATTAAACGTTTTATCCATCATCGTTTATAAATAGATAAATCCAAGTGAAAAATGCATGAAGATACTATTTTATATATTTTTATTACAATTTATAAATTTTAATAAATAGAATTAAATAGTATAAGTAGTATTAAATAGTAAATTATAGTAAATAGATAAATCCAAGAGAAAAATGCATGAAGATACTATTTTATATATTTTTATTATATATTTATAAATTGTAATAAATAGTATTAAATAGTATTAGTGGATATCAAAATAGTAATTTGTAGTAAATTGATTAATCCATGAAAAAAATGCATATAAAATGTATTGCCTCAATTGTAATTGTAATATATAAATATTAAACAAGATAAACAGTTATATTTTTTTTTTTTTAATTTTCTCAATTTTACTTATAAATAAGTGTTATTGAAAAGGCATTTGTAAGTCGCATTAAAAGAACTAAAATAAAATTTAAAAACAGAGAAACATTTGAATTGCATTTTAACTTCAATTTTTGAATTCTTGATTCATATGTACATACATATATATAATGAAGTTTTATTTTCAGGCTGCAATAACTGGAAATTTAAGGCGTTTACAGTTTGTATTGGTTTATAAGTGAAAGTGAAGAATTTGTTATGACATTGTTCTCAAAACTGAAATCTATTTGTACAAAAATTTAAAAATTATATAGTTGATGTATAAAATACTTTCTCCTGCTCGTGATTTACTTATCCTTCTGTAAGAAGAAATTAAAGTACATATGTTGTAATATAACAAATAACAAAAAAAGAATGATATTTTAAATATTATATTATAGCTAACTTTTTACATTGAATAAAATTTTTGATTATTGCATGAATATAAAAATCATGTTTCCATTTTTTATAATTTCAAAATTCCCGGGAATACAATTGACGTTGTGCCAAATGTCACGAAGCAGGTTTGCAAACCTACAAAAAAAATGGTAAACATCAAATATGTTCTTTGCCAAATTAAATGATTTTTATTTTTATTTTAAATTTGTAATATTTTCTAAGTGTTTTTTTCATTCATAAATAAAATTAATTATTTTTATTTATTTATAACAAATTGATATATAATTCTGCAACTGTTGTGATAAGTGTTACTGTCAAAAGTGGTTAGGTTATAAAATACTTTTCGTTTGGTTTTGGATATTATTTAAATTGATTGTGGATAAATTTACTGAAATTTAGCATGTTTTGTTGTCTAAAAGGATGTTTAGATACTCTAGGTTATTCAAACAATGTCCCCATGCGAGTCAGGGAAAATCCAGTGCGACTGGACACATCACATATGGGTAAGAAAATAATAAAAAAAAACAATAAACAAATATTTTATATCACTATCAATTGATTTTCGAAATTATTCCAAAGGTCACGAAGTTGTTATTGTGAAAGGTGGCCGGAGAGTTTGTGGCTCAGGGGCTGCTTTAGCTAGTGCACCTTTAGTGCAATCAAAATCTTATTTTGAAGTTAAATTACAACAAGCTGGTTCTTGGTCAGTTGGAGTCGCAACAAGACAAGCTGATTTGAATCATTCGCAAGGTTAGAAATATATTTTTATTGGAAATGTGGCTCAAGCAACAGGTTGTTAATAATATATTTTTGAATAGTACCTATATTAATTTCGAATAAAATTGTGTGTGACTGTTTAAGGCATTTAAATTTTAATTCCAGACTTTAAATAGAACATAGATATTAGTTGTGCATTGATACATACAAATATTATCTACACGTACAATTATTATTAGTATTAAGTATGAATTACAACATCATATTGGAGGAGATCGTAAACATCTAAGATTTATTTTATGGAAATATGTTTTCAAGCCTTATCTTGGCATTTCTCCATCAAATTAAGAATCATCTGTATTAAAGAAGTTCTAATCATAATATATTTCAAATAGAAATGGGCTATTAATATTTATTTCAATAGTCTATCGAACTGTTATGTTCTGATTGCTGTCCAAATATGCAATAAAAAAATCTATCGCAAATAATTTTATTGTTAAATATAGCATAGTAAAGTTACATACAATCTACTTAATTTAAGAGTATATTGTGCCCTTAATAGTTGTTGTTCTAAATTTGTGATATCATCATCAATATCATTACTTTCTTACTCGTGAATGAACCATTATCACACATTTAAATACTTTTGAATTGCACAATATTAGTCATGGCAGTCAAAGATTTATGATCAATTATTGTAATTCTATTATTGAATCACAATAATTACTAAATTGCAATAATAATCCCATATCATTCCTATAAATTAGATATTCACATTTATTATTAAATTATCTTCATATGTTGAAATTCTGCATGAATTTATATATATATATTATATGCTGTTAAATTAATTATAATTCATTATAAACTGATATCTAATTTAATAAATTTTGATGTAGTGATCTCAATTCAGTCAACAAATTTATTTATTTCTATTTTTTGTTGTATTTAGATATTGATCCAAAACTTTTTATAAAATTGTGAAAAAAATGATCTATGAAATTTTTAAAACAACTTTATAAGATATGATAGATGTATTATATGTATATAGTACATTTTAGGATTTTTTCAGTAATAATTAATAACATCACGTCTCAATTAAAATTTATTACCGTTATGAATTTGCATAGATAATTATTAAGTGAAAATTCTCATTACCAAGACGTTTATATTATATTTTTATTGACCTCTCATATGATAAATGTAAGATTGTTATCGCGATCGAGTACAAAACGCCCACATTTATCTGATGTTAAATGCGTGTTTCTTTTCTTACTAAATATGAAACTTCTCATTGTGATAAGTTTTTTTTTTCCTATTATTTGACCTCGAAAATATCAATTATTTGTTATTAACATATATCACGCTATTGAAGCAATAATAATAAATTTCTTTATTTTTTGTGATATAACTAAATTTTATGCGGTTTATTTAAAATTTGCGTCTGTTTAAAGGTCAATGCCATCATGGAAAGTAATCTTAATGTTTATTACTATTTTTAATCTTAACTTTTTGTACTGTTTTGATTTTAGGTGGAAACGATAAGGAATCTTGGTGCCTGAATTCAGATTGTACCGTCCGGCACGATAATGTAGTTATACACAGGTATTTATTATTTTGAATGATATTTGATTAAATTTTTGGACAAAAAATACAACAGACACATAAATTCTTTATGACTTCATAATTTAGTATACATTTATATATAAATTTGACCCCATGGCGAAACAATCTAATTACTTAATGATCTATTTAAAAAAATATGTATCTGTTGTAATTATTTAGTAAAATGATTTTATAATACTTTTATTGATGATGGACTTTAATATGAAATTTGCTTATGATAAATTATTTAGACATCGTAAATAAATCGAATAATAGTATTAGTAATTTTTTCTATTAGTTTAAAAAAAATCTTTGTTAATATATACGAGGTCTGTTCAAAAAGTTTTCGTAATTTTCGTTTTTTCAAAAAAATATTTATTTATTCGTCTACATTAATGTGGTCCCCTTCAAAGTAGTCCCCCCCAGATATAATACACTTATGCCAGCGTTTTTTCCAATTTTCGAAGCACCCTTGATATTCACTTTTTGATATGTCCTTGAGCACTCTCGGCGATTTTCTTCAATCGAGGAAAACCGCCGTCCTTTCATGGGTCTCTTCAACTTTGGGAATAGGAAAAAGTCACACGGAGCCATATCTGGTGAATTTTTGCACTTTGCAACACTTTATTTCATTTTTTACGCAAAATTTAATACAAATTCTTTGACTTTTCAATTCTTCCATTGTAAAAATCGCCGAGCTCAGAAAAACACGTCGAACCTTAGCGACTACCACAGACAAAGTAAACAGTGAATATAGCTGAAAATTTCATCATACTTTAGGGGCATGTATACCAACACAATAAAAAAAAATTTTTGACAATCAGACACTCCAGACCCGCGAAATTTAATTATTAGTAATTCCGGGTACTTTTTGAACAGACCATGTATTGTTTATATATTTTTCAAATATTTTTATTTTTTTTAATATAATTACGTTCTTACAAATACTTTTGAAATTAGAAAAAAATGATATGCCAAAGTTAACCAAAAAGTAACGTCCCGTCCATTAATCACGTTATCGATTTTTTTAACAATTTTTGGACTTCCCCTTGGTGACACGTGGTGATATTCAAAATCAACGATGTTCTTGCTACAAATTACAATTATTTCATAATATTGTTCCACAAATACGGATATGAAATTGATGGCCAAAATTATGTATTTGGCATAAACAAAAATGTATTTGCTATTCATATGTGAATGTTAATTGAAAAAACGAAAGTTTGACTTTGACGTTGATTATCGACGCCAAGGACGCATTCCTTGGTAATTAGATGTGAATGACATCGATACTAAATTTCTTGTCGATTGCTTAATTGACTTCCGAGAAAATTCGTGATTTTTTATATACCCATCACATATTTATAACTTTCAATATTTTTAATAACAGACATTCCTGAATGCAAGCTGTGTTGAACCAGCATTTAACTTCTATTTTTTTTTTCTTAACGCCTTTAGGAATTGAAGTAGAATAACGCTAGTTTTTTGTCTATGTCTTAATAATTTTTGTATTATATTTTTTACATATACACTATATCTGCTTATGAATGTTATCTGCAAAACAATGTCCATTAATGGATTTTTAAAATGTGTATAGAAAGCAACAAGATAACGAATGCACTTGTTTAAAAAATGTAGGCTGCATACAATGGTGCATTTAGATGTACTTTCTTAGTGTAGTTTTATTTAAATAAAATATACTAGGTGTAAGTGGCATTTTGCCTTAAGGAACGTTGCATAAACTTACCATACGTATGAATATTAGACTCAATCATTAAGAATTAAGATTTAGCTAAAGTTTTCAACTCTTTATTTCGGCTTTTACTCTTTTCCACTCTTTATTAATGTTTTGTTTTCACCAAAAACTAATCAATATTATTTCCAATTTTCCAAGCTACTCATTATTCTAAACGTTAATTTTTTTTTTATAATACAACTACTTTTCGAACAGTTTTAAATGTTCTAAATCAGTTCAGGATTTTTTTTTACAAAAACTCTGAAAGGGGATTTTGCAATTTTCTGTTTTAGTTTCATAGAAATATGATTTTTTGAAATAGGTTCTGCATTTTTTGAAAAATTGACAAAATCATTTTTTTATAATAGCACCACTTTTTGTAGGCCTATAATATTTTAGAATGTTTATTTATCAAATCATTAACCTTATCGCTGTGTTAAAGGAACCCAAAAAAAATTTAATTTTTAATTACAAAGAAATATCCTGGACGATCATTGCCAAAAGTTAGTGAGCACGATTTTCCTCTGATTTCTTTCTAAGGGGGGGAGGGTTGATAAAAAAAACTCGAAATATCACATGGGGTAGGGAGGGGTCTGGTAAGATAACACGTGAATTTAATTTTCAAAAAAAATTTAAAACGTCTGTTTTTTCGTAACTAAAAATACACGTGATGTTTGGCGGGGGAGGGGGGTAATTTTGAATATTACAAAGAATCACCAAGGGGGGGGGTCCAAAAATTTTTTAAAAAATCGATCACGTGGTTAATGGACGCCTCCTAACGGTTTTTAAATTTTCAAAGTCATCTCAGGATTTTTTGCAAAATCCTTGAAGAAAAGGATTTTGCAATTTTCTGCTAATTCCAAAGAATTGGCTCGTCCGATGGTTTCGCAAAACTAATCAACGCTCGTTCTTAGCGAGATTCATCGAATGGCTTTTTTGAAAAATATTAAATTTGTAATATAAAGATTTTGTTAAATTATTTTTCTAATTTTGATCTCATACGATTCAGAAAACATTAAATTAGTCAGACGGGCAAAATTCTGGAAGTTAGAAACTTCTTTTTCTGGAAGTTAGAACCCCAATAATTCCTGAAAAAATTAACGATTACCTTACCACAAAGTATTTTATTTCATTCGAATTAGTATTTCTGATTATTCTTGCGCATAAATGTTAGGATAAGAATCTCAAATGTCAATCGTGTGTTAACTGCCGAAGAAAGTTCATGCCGGGGAAAGTTCAATGAAAGTGACTTTGCAAGAATATCGACGCAGCGCATGTCATGAGTACAAATCGCTCTTGTTAAGGTCACAACCGCGGAATATATCTGATTATAAATTCATTTCGTTAATAAGAGTTCATGGGAATCTAACAAACAATAGCCACGGAAGCAATTGAGAAATAGATATACGGTAGAACCCCGTTAAGACGATTTTTTAAGGACCGCACCAAAAGCGTGTTTTCAGCGAGAAACCATGTGGTGCGAATTTGGTAAATCATTCATAGCTAATTAGGACTTCACCATTCAAGTTTTTGCCTTTATAGAAAATTTAGGTTTTTTGGTTAACTTTTTCTTACGCACGTTATGGGCCCCTAAATCTATGCTACATAATTTGAAAATGATTTCGTTCTGTATTTTAAATTTTGTTCTCATTTTCTCAGTCTACCAACGGATTCGGCCAATTCTGATCCACTCTCTTCAGGTCTCTTATTGGGGTCAAAGGACCCCGGAGACCTTATTTTGGACATTTTTGTAGAAAACTGACCAAAACCGCCTCTAAAGCGAGAAACCGTATCATACGGTTTCAGCAAATCATTTATAGCTAATTAGGACTTCACCATTCAAGTTTTTGCCTCTATAGATAATATATGCTTCTTAGGGTCACTGAATCTATGCTACATAATTGAAAACTAATTTCATACAGTATTTTAATTTATGTTTTCATTTTCCCAGTCTACCAACGGACTCGGCCAATCCTGATTCACTCTCTTCAGGTCCTTTATTGGGGTCAAAGGACCCTGGAGACCTTATTTCGTCCGACGTAGCCAGTAGAACTCCCACTGAAGGAGACACTTTAGGGGTGTCTTATGATCACATAGCACTTAACTTTTATTTAAATGGAAAGGATCTCGAAATACCAGTCAATAACGTCAGGGGTACTGTGTATCCTGTATTGTATGGTAATAACTTACACAATATGTAATATTTTACATTTTAAATTTGATGTTTCTGATTATTATCCTTTTCCAGTTGATGAAGGGGCTATTTTAGACATAATTCTGGATGATTTCACCCACACGCCGCCGCCCGGTTTCTCTAAAATAATGATAGAGCAATCTTTATTATAACAAGTGAAAATATCAAGATTTTGTTTACTGCAACTGTATATTGTCAGAGATTAAGAGTATTTTTCTTGAGCTATATTTTTAAAAATTGTATTAAGTGCTTAATGTAATACTAAATGTTGACTTAATGTAACTACTGTTGACTGTTTACTAATTAAGATAATTTTTTAGTTTTAACATTACATAAAGCATCACAGATGAAACGAATGGACTTGTATATATATTTATAAAATCATGCAAATTTAATTTGTTTATGTTAATGATTTCTAACAATTTATTTGATGTATTGATTAATTATTTTTTATATTAACCATATATTAAATCAATTAAGTAATATTATTTTATATCAAATATAACAATCTAAACAAATATTGCCTGTATTAATATGAAGATATCATATTCCAATATTGTCTAGGTAATACTAGGTACAATATTAAACAAAAATTTAAATAGGCTTGAAATAGGCTAAAAATTCTTTTAGAAAACAAAAGCTTTTGAATGAATACAAAATAACAATCGAATGAGAGTGGATTGAAACGAAGAAAACAAACTGGAACTATAAAACTAAATAAATAACTAAATATATAAATTTTGAAATTAAATTTGAAAAATGTTTTTAGATACATAAATATGTTTAGGTATAACATGGGTCTGATAAAGTTTTAAATAAAATTGATTGCTTTAGGGCAATTTAGAGAAAGTATAGCTCAATCTTTCAGCACTTTTCAATGTATGAAAAATTATTTAACTAAATCGTTATTAAATTTTTATGAAAAATGCGTAGGATGCAGCAGAATTATTAAATATGCATTTAAAAGGAAAATTTGAAAGGTATTCATAACAGAATTTTATATAATATTAAAAAATTGTTTTATGCCTTAGAGAAAAATTTGGTGAATGATTTAGAAATACTGAATTTCGGGAATGTTATTGCACTAAAATTTATCAAATTTTAGTGTGAAATTTGTAGGGCATTGAAATATGCATATAGGAGTTAAATATAACAAAATTTTATGCAAAATTAGATAACAAACTGCTCGTAAGACAGTTTAGAGAAAGGGTAGATTAAATTATTATTACAAAGTAGGAATGTGCGTAAGTTTAAATATTAAATGGATAAATATTTTTATAAATGCATAAACCATTAAAGTTTTATCAATTGTAATACAGTTGTTTATGCAAAAATCTGCAATTTCAAATTTAGCGGTTATAGATGTCACTGTCATCATTATGAACTGTCATTTCTGTGATCTTGGTTATGTCAGTTTACAAAATAAAAACAAGTGCAATGTAAATAATTTTAAAGTGAATTTTAATATAGTTTTAGTCTAAGTATGCAATGATTAACCGGTGATATTGTTATTGTATATGTTTTAATTTATTTATATCCCTAATTTTTAATGCTAAAGTTATAAATCATTATGGAAGAACCTTCGGTAATATATCGTAGGATTTATTATAGGTTAAAGGAACCAAATCCATTATTTACCAAATGGGTTGAAGAATTGAAAAATGAAGCGGAGAAAAAAAATAGTAAAAGCAAATTCATTCTTGCAGAGGCTTTAGACTCCTTGAAAAAATTTCCTCTGCCATTAGAATCTGGAAGAGATTGCATAATTTTAAGAGGTTTTGGTAAAACTTTATGTTCTATGCTAGATGATAAGCTTGAAGAATATAAAAGAACTAATAATTCACCTAGTAGCCTTAACTCCAACAACTCTTTTAGTCTTAATAAAGATTTGTCCAAGAAAACCAAATTTGCAAGCAACAAAAATATTAGTTTTAATTATGTTGAAAATGATAAAGTATATGAGGCTGAAATATGTAACGATATATCAGATGATAAAATACAAAATCTTCTGGATTCAAATAATATACCACACACTAGCACTCAGAATAGAAATATAGATACATTAAAGAATTATGAAATACGTGATAACATATCTTCTCCTAAAAACGTACACGATTTATTAAACAAATATAAAAACTTGGATGATTTACTAGATCCTAAAAATGCAAAAGGTACAGTTAATAGCAATAAAACAAATAAAAAACCTAAAGGTACTAAAATTTCTCCTACTTTATCTACTGATGTAGGTAATAAAAATATTGATAATCCTTCAAGTCTAATTTCGCCTAGAAAAGCTTTAAAGACTATCAAACAATATGATAAAAGGAAAAAATTAAGTATAGAGCATAAATTCCATCGAATAAGTACTTCTTCTGACTCTGAAATATCAGATGGTGATTCAGGAGGATATATAAAAAGAATTGACTCGCCATCAAAAATATCTCAAAAAAATATTTCACAAGAAAAAAGACTGGTAGATAAAAATATTTTTCCTGAAGAAAATGATGAAGTTCATGAAATTGCTATATCTTCTGATTCTGATGATAATTATAATTTAAATTCATCTCCTGGTTTATCTCAAGGAACTAAAGCAAAATTTGCAAAAATATCTAAACAACTTGATGTGAGTATTGATAATAGTAACAAAAAATTGAATGCATCTCAAATTTCTCAAAACAGTTCTTTTAAGGAGAACCCTGAATTGCATGAATTATATTCAGATGATTTAGGAAATCATAGGGTTTATAATATTGATACCTCTTCTGATTCTGATGATATTTACTCTCGTTCACATAAGAAGCCCATTGAATTCAATGAAAATAGTTCTGTTTGCTCTAATCAAAATATTGATGATCTAGGTCAAAATAATAAAAATAACTCACAATGTGATAATTCTCAAAAAAGTTCTGGTGAAAAAAAATTGACTGAAATGAGTACAGACAAAGATGAATTATTAGAAAATTTGGAAAAGAACAGAGTGCATAACATAGATGTTGTTTCTGAATCTGATGATGAGTTGGATAAATTTAATACTGCGAACATTTCACCTGCTCATAATTCTAGGAAAATAAAATTATATACTTCTGAAAATATTGCTCTAACAAATGCAAAAATTGGTAATAAATATATTAACAATGATAAAAGTAATGATTTTTTGGAGCATTATAAAGAACCAAGTAAAAGATTCAATGGCAAAACTATTTTTTCTAAGCAAATTGATATTGATAATGTATTTGATATTGATGATTCTTCAAATTCAGAATGTCCACGACTACCTGAAACTTCTCCAAAGTTTTCAAACAATGATGATGCTTATAGTATCGAAAATTTTCCTAATTCTAATGATATTTTGAATAAATATAAAACTGGTTCTCAGGTGTGTAATATGAAAAGAAAATCTCCCAATACAAGAGCTGCTTCAAAGATATCTAAAATCATGATCATGACGAAGTATGTATCATTGATCCTTCTCCTCCTTCTGACGATATATCAGATGATCAATTAACTTCTTATAATTTAAATGATAGAAAACGATCTAAAATTGTTAAAAATGCTAATGACATATTAAGTGCTAAGGTGACTGAATATGAAGATACATCAGCAAATAAACAAAGTGCTGGTTCAAAATCATATTCCAATATACAATCTAAATCGAAAGATGTGTTATCCAAATATTGGGAATCAATGGTATAATGCACATAGACACATCTCCTGAACCTAGCGAAGTTGATTTTATTTGTAATACAAACTCTAATCAAATAATTAATAATGATAATAATATTTCTGAAGAAAAGGGCAATCAAAACAAGCTTAGTAATAATATCAATTCTATACTTGATGCAATTGATAATAACAAAAAACCTGAAGCACAAAAAAGGGGTAATTCAAAAACTAGTAAATTATATTCACCTGCCTATCGTTCAGGCCCTTACGCTTTGTTAATTGCTTTAATAAAGTTACACCATGAAAATAAGTTTTCTGTGAGCAAAGATGAATTACAAACTAAAGCTCAGCCTTATTGTGATAAAGTTTTTGTTCCTACTGATAAATCGATACGATATACTGCATGGTCTTCAATGTCAACATTAATCACAAAAAATTTAGTACAAAAAACAGGCAGGCCTGCAAAATTTAGTATAACAGAAGACGGAATTTCAGTAGCAGAAGAGTTATTGAAAAAGTATGTTGAGACAAATCAAGAAGGTGATTTTGAAGATAATATTGGTCAGCAAGTTTCTACTAGTCAAAAGGAAACACTATCACAAAAGAATAAAAGAAATGCTCCTAAAACAACAGAAATTGAAGCAGTAATTTTTCCACCAAATTCCTTTGAAATTATTTTGTTAGTTGACACGCAAGAAACATCAGGGTAAATATTACTCAATATAAGAAATATGATGGTTTAAGCAATATTATTATTATTATTTTTTTTTTAAGGATGGCAAAAAGAGCTTATGATGAAACGATACAAGTGCTGACAGAAATAAAAGTTCAATATGAAATACGGCGCTTAAATGTTGGAGATTTTGCATGGATTTGCCGAGACGATTCAAAGAGAGAATTATTGCTTCCATATATAGTTGAAAGAAAAAGAATGGATGATTTTGGGAGCAGTATTAGAGATGGAAGATTTAAAGAACAAAAATTTCGATTGAAACAATGTGGAATTCAAAATCTATTGTATTTAATAGAAAGCTATGGGCGTAATGAGCATACAGGTTGACTCTACATTGTATCTTGTCATAATAATTCTCTTAGCTATTGCATTTGATAATCAGTTTCATTTTTCACTATTTTTTCTAAATAATTTTCTATTAATAAGTGAAATACTTATATTTTTGAGTTTATATTAGCATCACTTAATTATTTTGATATTATTTATTCATACAGGTCTTCCAATTGCATCTTTATTTCAAGCAGCATGCAATACTTCTATTCAAGATGATTTTATATTAAAATTTACTAACACACATCGAGATTCTATGATGTATTTAGCAGTATTAACTCGCATGTTAATGGAAAATATATCTGTAAGTATAAAATATATTTTCAACAAAATGCATGATAAATAGCACAAATACAATATAAATTAATTTTCTTTGACAAATTTATTTAATTTTATTACTTACAGAATAAAACTCTTGTTAGCTGTCCTAAAGAAAACTTAAAGAAGTTTGATTTTAATGACACTATAATAGCTTTGATGGATTTTACTGAATTTCAAAATTCATCAAAAAAGACAAGAAAATATACTGTACAAAATATGTTTGTTAAACACTTAATGCGAATCAAGGGAATTTCTATGGATAAAGCATTAGCTATAGTTGCAAAACATCCAACACCACAGGATCTCTATGAAGCTTTTAATGCATCTTCGAGTACTATAAATAAAGATTTGCTCACAAATATACAATGTGGACCATTAAATAGAAAAATCGGACCAGCAATGAGTGAGACCTTATACCATTTATTTACTTTAGAAAAGTACTCTTAGTAAAAAATTATTATATGATTATAATAAATCAATCGATTTTAATATATTTTATTATATTTATTATATAATATGGCAGTCATTTTATAATATTAATTATTATTTATAACAAAAGATATCTTAATCATAGTAATATTTTAATATTCTTGTAATTTATGATATAGATTTGTTTATCTTTCATGTGCACACAATGTGTGATATATATGAATTATATAAATTATTTTATAAACTTCCAATTTGATTGAATCGTTTGAGTTTCTCTGGGAATGGATCTTTGTATAATACTGGATCAGCACGAAATTCGACAGCTTTTAGAGGCATTGTTCCATACAATTCACTAAATCTATGAATACAATTTGATCTTTCAATCATATGATTCAGATCTGCAGAAAGCATTTCAGTATTGGTGCACTCTGGGCACTTGAATTTCTTTCTAGGAGCCACCTAAAATGTTATATGAACATTTAATTTAAAATCTGATTTGAAAAAATTAAGAAATCATGAATATTGAATATTAAAATTTCAAAATTTGTTACAAAGGTAATAAAATATTTTTAGTTTACCTTGAGTAAGTTAAAATTTATTTAGTTTTTCTTAAGCAAGGTTTACCTTTATAGGAGCCTTATTTGTGATATTAGCGACCAGAAAATTCATTGCTATATCTTCACAATTCATATGATCATCAACCCATTCCTTAATATTTCCAGGCATAGCAGTTGTATACATATAGCTCCAATACTAATGATATATAATACAAACAAGTTTAAATAAATTATTTGAAAAATAAATAAATTTTTATTCAAAAACCCATACTTTATGATGAAAAGCTGCTCCAGTTAAAACCATTGATACTTCATTTGTCCATTCAGATTCATATTTCCAATGATTAGTCACATTATCCCATACGTGCATGCGACTGGGGTATCCAACTATTCTATCAGGAAATTCACGCCATACCTCAAATCTGAATCAAAATTTAAAAGTTTAATACAACTGCACAATTAGGAAAACTGTGCTAATTTTAATTATAAATATAATTTTGGTATATAGAAAATTATAAAGTTATTATTTTAAATTACATTACCCAAATTCTAATTCATCAGCAGTCAACATTATTATATCATCATCAATTGTTAAAATAGCTTCAGTTTCTATCTCATTATAGGGATAAAATCTATTAGAAAGCTTATTTGCTTTGGTCTGGATTACTTTAAATGGTTTGTTTATTTTAGGCCAAGCTGATACTGAAATTAAGATTAGTATATTAACATTTCTTAAGTAATAATTTTATATATCCATTCTCACATGGTGGAGGTGATTTTTTCTGATTATTCCAAATCACCAATACTTTTTGTAATGATGGTGTCAATACCAATCTCTCAAGCAAGGCAAATAATGACTCAATGCGATCATAAGTTAAAACAACTGCAGTAAAACCCTGAGACTTTGGGGCAGTGATGGGTAAAAAGAGAGGTGTGTATGCTGCTTTCTATAATAAAAAGTATATAATATAAAGTTTGAATAACATAACACAAGTTGAATAAAATTGTTTATTAAATTAACTGCACGAACCGGGTTGGGTGGCAAATTCCATTGGCGATAATTTTTAGCAAATTGGGGAAATACTCTATCATTAATAATGTCCAACACAGTGTTGGTCATTGCTTCAATAGATGAGAAATATTTTTTGTATAACCATAATACCTGTAACCAAAAATGAATAACAAGGTAACAAATATTGATGCATTTGTTGCTTATAAAAATGTTATTTAATTTAACCTGATCGCGTTTCTCTATAATGGCCTCATCTGAAATAGCTTTTAAAACTTCTATAACACTTAAAATATTTTCTTCTTGTATAAATATTGCTGCTCTTTTCCAGTCTATCACCTTAATTTTAAAAATGTTATCAAGGCATTAGTTACTATAATAACTTTACTTTTCTTATAATTAAATAAATTTATTATTTCATTATTCTACCTGCTGAAATGGCATGATAAGACCATCAGCAACTACAACTGGAATACATCCAGCAGCCATTGCTTCCAGTAGAACTTGTTGAGCTAATCTTGCTGCTCTATGAACCAAGCAAAATACTCCACTTTGAAGTACTTTAGGATAATCCAACCTTTCAAAAGCCAAATATTGCATATTCTTTAACATAAACTTTTTAACGATATGGTTCTACTTACATGTTAATTCTCTGTAAATCACATCGAACTGTGTGGTTGTGATGATTATTGCAAGGCTGCAATAGTAGAAAATCATTGTGTTCAGATGCTATTGTTCCAAGATCTAACATTAAGGAAGAACCAAGATGAAGTTGAGATGAAATTAATAAGTGTTTTCTGTGAACAAATTATGGCAATCAAATTAAATTTTACCAGTGGATCATAAATCATATTTTACCGTTCAATATTTTTATCATAGTTATCAATATATTCTGCAGCTAATATGCTGTACACTGGCAGAGATATATCAAAGCCAGATCTGTATGCCCAAGTATCAAAACCTGCACCTGCAACTAAAGCTTTACCAATTGGTAAGTCTAATACTGTGTTATACTCAGGACTAGATCCTGGAACCATGTTGAATATTAAATGGTTTTCACCATCGTTCCAACTAAAACATAATTAAATTAATTTAAGTTTTGTAACCTTGTAAATATGGTATAAAGATAAATTTAAATTTGCAAGTTTTAGGCAAGTAACTTACTGTGATAAACTATTCAAAGCTTGTGATGTTATTTTGGGCCGAAATCTGTTTTGATTTAAAGTATCAATACTTGGAACAAATATACAAGCCTCATCAGGATTTGATGTGTAATATTTGCTATCTTTTATAGTTTTTAAAATAAAATAAAATTCTTTGGACATGATACCAGTGGCAGGTATATCATCAGCATCAAGATATTTTTTAATTGGATAAATATAAATAGATATTTGATTGTGCCCTTTATTGCCACAGCGATACACATTAAAACAATCCCAGTGGCTGCATTTTGGATTGCGAGGATTTGCTGAGGGAGCTTGATCATGAATGATTTGTTCTGGAACGTTTATGACATCTTCCAAACTTATATCCTTATAGATTTCATGTCTTTTTCCACTATATGGAAATAAAACTAATAAAGCAATACTGAGGGCGAAAACCAATACGAAAAATAATACAAGAAAAAAGTGTCTGAATGACGTGTTGGAGTAATTTATTGGTTTCAAACTCTTGTTTAGGTGGGCCATTGTAATTTATTAAATGCTATTTTTGTGATGAGTTACATATTAGCTTATTTTATAATGTAATTAACAATAAATTAATTATTTTACTCCATGTTATCCATGTTTGTCTGTCAAATTTGACAGTCTAGTTGTCACAAATTGTCTCAAGTAGCGCCACCTGTAAATACTGAACTAGGAAGTAATGTAGCTAACTTCACATTTTATTATTGGCGCCAAAAACTGACAATATTCTCCACAACCGTTGTCATTACATATTGTTTAGGACCGTTGTTGAATGCATTTTCATCAAAGCTTCAAAGGCTTGTTTTTACACTTGCAGTGTTTGTTATACAGTTAATACAATTAAGTACTTATTTTAAATTTTTAATAAGTAATACAATGGGCGGACGCGATTATGGAACTGATCGAGGTAATACTTTACACCTAATCCTTTATTGGTTTTATTCATGTTTTTGTAAACTTATTTCTTATTATTATTATAGAATCTATCAAAACTTTTTTGACTGAGTTTTGTAAGACTGATAATGATGGAAAAAAGATTTTCGTATATTCTTCACAATTAACAAAAATTGCACATAGAGAACAAGTTGGATTGTTCATAGAGCTTGATGATGTTATGGACTTTAAAGAATCCTTGGCTGAAGCAATTATTGCTAACACCAGGAGATACATTAATTTATTTTCTGATGTTGTGTTTGAGTTATTGCCTAGTTTTAAAGAAAAGGAAGTTGTTGCTAAAGATAGTTTGGATGTATATATTGAGCATCGCTTGTTGATGGAATCTAGAACAAGACAGCCTCATGATCAGCGGGACCCACGTAATAAGTACCCTCCAGAATTGATGAGGCGATAGTAAGTGAGCTTTACCTATTTATTTAAATTTCTTGTGATAACATTATTATTCTTTTTAGTGAAATATATTTTAAGGATTTGAGCTCAAACAAATCTGTACCAATCAGAGAAATTAAAGCTGAGAACATAGGAAAGCTTGTGACTGTAAGAGGTAAATATTGTTTATCATTTCTCTTGTGCTACATATTTAAAATTAGATGTATAATTTCAATAATTTGTTGGCAGGCATTGTTACGCGCTGCACAGAGGTGAAGCCAATGATGGTTGTTGCTACTTACACATGCGATCAATGTGGTTCCGAAACATACCAGCCAGTTACTTCCTTAACTTTCATGCCTGCTACTGAATGCCCTTCTGATGACTGTCGTGTTAATAAAGCTGGAGGGCGTCTTTATTTGCAAACTAGAGGTTCTAAATTCATTAAATTTCAGGAGCTCAAAATACAAGAGCATGTATGTTTATTTCTCTTCTTATCATATAGTTTAATATGATAAAATGTAAATAATTATGTGTAAAATTTCAATTTGACTTTCAGAGTGACCAAGTGCCAGTTGGTCACATACCTCGAACTTTAACCGTGTTCTGCAGAGGAGAGGTAACTCGTATGGCTCAACCTGGAGATCATGTTATGATCACTGGTGTATTTCTTCCCTTGCTAAGAACTGGATTTAGGCAAATGTCTGTTGGATTGTTAAGTGAAACATACCTGGAAGCTCATGTAAAATTTAATGCAAATCCCATTTATCCCAAATATATTCTAGAATTTAATTTTTGCTAATTTCATCATTCAGAAAGTCGTATGTTTTGATCGTACTCCAGAAGGTGAAGAATCGCCAGAATTAACTGAAGAGGAGTTGGCTGAATTGTCAGAGGAAGATTTTTATTCTCGCCTTGCTTGCAGTTTGGCTCCAGAAATTTATGGTCATGAGGATGTTAAAAAGGCTTTGCTTTTATTGTTGGTTGGAGGGGTTGATAAGAGGCCAGATGGTATGAAAATTCGAGGCAATATTAATATATGTTTGATGGGTGACCCTGGTGTAGCCAAATCTCAATTGTTGAGCTACATTGATAGATTGGCTCCAAGAAGTATGTATTATTATTCATCTTTACATAGATTTGTTTAATAAAATACTTTGTAAAAAAATTATCTTTGATCTTAAAATACTATTTTTTTTTTTATTACTTAGGTCAATACACAACTGGTCGTGGTAGCAGTGGTGTTGGTTTAACTGCAGCTATTATGAAAGATCCTCTAACTGGTGAAATGACTTTGGAAGGTGGTGCATTAGTTCTAGCTGATCAAGGAGTTTGTTGCATTGATGAATTTGATAAAATGGCTGAGAACGACCGTACTGCTATCCATGAAGTTATGGAACAGCAAACCATTTCTATTGCTAAGGTATTTTATTACAATATAAACTGAAAATATATCAATTTTATGTAACTAGAAATCATTACTTTTATAGGCTGGAATTATGACAAGTTTAAATGCTAGGGTCTCAATCTTAGCTGCAGCTAATCCTGCTTATGGCAGATACAATCCTCGTCGTACTATTGAACAAAATATACAACTCCCAGCAGCTTTGCTAAGTAGATTTGATTTGTTATGGCTTATTCAGGACAAACCTGACAGGTGAATATCTTCGTGAACAATATAGAAAAATATTAGTAATTTATACTAAATTATCAATAATCAATTTTCAGAGACAATGATTTGCGTTTGGCAAAACATATTACTTATGTGCACACACACAGTAAACAACCTCCTACCAGAGTGCGTAGCTTAAACATGAACTTAATGAGAAGGTACATTGCCTTGTGCAAGAGAAAGGAACCTGTAATTCCAAATGATTTGACTGATTACATTGTGGGTATGTAATGTTCCTATTCATATTATGGCTTCAATCATTAAATTTTAACATACAAAATTTAATCATACTGTTTTTATTCAAGGAGCATATGTGGAACTGAGGCGTGTAGCAAGAAATTCTCGTGATATGACATTTACATCTGCAAGAAACTTGCTTGGTATTTTGCGTTTATCAACAGCTTTGGCCCGTCTTAGATTGGCAGACATTGTTGAAAAGGAAGATGTTGCTGAAGCCATTCGTCTCTTGGAAATGTCCAAAGATTCTCTCAATCAAAATGTTGAACAATCCATGTCTAGGTAATAATTAATTACATTGGGCATTGCTCCACATCCGATAGTTTCTTAGAGTGCTTATTTTTGTTTTTTATTGCAGAGTTCCCAACACATCAGATAAAATATTTGCTCTTGCAAGAGAATTAGCAGGCTCGAATAAAACAATAAAGATTGCTGATGTAATGGAGAGATGTTCTTCTAAAGGTTTTAAACCTGATCAGGTTGATGCTTGCATTGAAGAATATGAAGAGTTGAATGTATGGCAAGTTAATCAAACAAGGACAAAAATCACATTCATCTAATTTTAGCTTATATTGTAATTTATTTTTAACTATTTTAGTCAATTTAAAAATGACATGTTAATGTTTTGTATGATCAGTTTTTTAAAATAAATGTTATTTTTTTACTTTATGTAATAAATTATACAAATCTATAATTCTAAGCAAACTTTCAGGTTTTTAAAGTTAATGCATTTGAGTTTTGATTAATTTGACAATGTATAAGTACTGTCTTAAAGAACTAAAGCCATGAGTTAGATAATATAATTAAAAATTAAGCAAATTAAATAAAAAAGCAACAAAAATGGGCATAAAAATACTTATTGCCGATTGTGTGCAAATATGCTCTCATTAAATCATTGTTATGACTATAGTAAATGATTTTAAATCAATTAAACTTAAAGTTAATATACTATACTTAAAATAATTAATTAAAGTGCGAATGTGACGCATAATTTTTGTGTACACAGTTACAAAAATTAAAAGAAATACAATCCGGCATATGTGTGTGCGCCCAACAAACCGTGAAGTTTATTAAGCAAGTTTTCAAGAGAAAGTCCTTTTTATAACTATAATAGATTATTTTATTTCAAGTAACTGCAAGTCATAAATTACAATTTGTGCAACATTTCGAATATGTACTTAAATATTGCAACTTGGGGACTGAAATCTTCAATACCAGTGGTTAATAATAAATAAATATTATATAAGGACATGTTATCATAATCTGTGTGTGGGGAAATATATTAATTGAATATTAGAAATGAAGTATGCTAAAGTATGATTTTTTTTCTAAATACATATTGCCAATTTTCAAAACATTATCCAGGCAATGCCCTTCCATTGCCAAACAACAAAGCGTGGTAAAAATTGTTTTCGTTACGCGACGCCAGTTTTGTTTCAACCGTCAGCCGGTGCGAGTCGTATTCGGTTGAAGTGCTTTAGATATGAATTTAATAAAATAACCAGACGTGTTTTAGTAAAATATTATTTAACAGGAGAAAATATATTGATATAAGTACTGTTTTAATTTTTACGCAAAATAAATATTGTGTTTTCAGTAAATTTTAATAGTAATGTGTGGTTCGGTGCAAATTTATAGGATGTGTCGTGTTTAAAATAATATACATTATGGTGACAATAATTATATATAAATGGATTGATGGATAACTCAACTTATATTTGCAAATGGTAAGTAATTTTTTTAGAAAATCCGATTTATTTTAAATAATTTTCTGTCAAAGTTTTAGCTGATGGCGAAATTATAATTTCTTTTCATATTATTTTCCAAAAATAATATTTTGGCGTGTGAACAATGCCATGACACTAAATAGTCATAAAAAGCCATCATCTAAAACTTTGACCGAAAATTATTTAAAATAAGTCCTGTATAAGTCTTTTTTAATTATTCTTATTTCTATTTAATTTTAAAAATCTGGTTGATATAATTATTAAACTAATTATTTGATTAAAACTAATTTGAACTCGCATAAAAAAGTACAATAAGATATTTGTTAAAAATAGGAGTACTTTGAAATGCTTAAAGAATAGCATATGACATGATTTTAACAATATATTTTAAAATATATTCAATATAATTATATTTTATTTTATTTTTTATATCCTAAAGTTTTATTTAACTATTAATTATAATTCTATTAGTTCTAATTATGATTTTACTATATTGTTTTATTATTTTTTAGATGTCGCGTCGCAGGTCTCGAAACCAATATAGAAAAGAAAATGGACCTAAAATATCTTATACACAAATGCAGTTGGATGCAACTGCTCTTCGTTTGGATATTTTTTGTTTTTCGAGGTAAGAGTAATAAAATAATACTATTTTATATACATATTTACATCCTATAGATATACTGTAAACAAATTTATAGGGAAAATTTAAACCAATATAAACATGATTCTCATAAATGCTTTGTATACATGGTACAATCTTCCAAAGTTACATAATTTTAAAATAATGTTTAATGCATAATAAAAAGTATTATGCAGTACGTAAAATTAGTCAAATGAGAAATATTTGAATACTAGTTTTTGAATACTACAAATAATGTAATTAATATTGATTTAAAATCCATATTATTTATGGTCAGTTCAGGAGTTCTCATTAGAATCATATAAGAAAGTTATACGAGAAGTTATCTTCCAATTGCAAAGTTATAAAATTTTAAAATAATGTTTCTTTTTATCATAAAGTGCGTAAAATTCAGACAAATCGGAAATATATTCCGAAATATAAATGTGTTTGAAAACTACAAATCAGATCATTATTGATTTAAAATCAATATTGTTTTTGGTGAATTTTTGAATTCTCATTAGAATCACATAAGAAAGTTATACGAGAAGCTATCTTTTTCTAAAGAAAGGGTTACTTGATTGAGTCTTATAAAAGTGTGAAAATTTTAAATTTCGCAATTTTGCTTTTCTTATTCAAGATATTTTATAATTATTTGTTGTTAACCCTCTGTAGGGTAAGTTATAATAATCGCAAAAAAAATTAAAATGATTTTTTTTATTTATATCTATACATTTTAAGGCGTTCTGAACATTTTGGCATATCTTATTGCCAAAAAAAATTGGATGTGTTATGTGTGTGTATGCGCATATGTAGTATGTATATATGTATCATACACACAATTATACTACATACACACACAATACATCCATGTTTACATACACAGTATACAAATTTTTGTTCACTGTTTCGATAGCACAGATCAACCGATTTGAATGATTTAAAAAACATTCGATTCGTATTGACAAAGAGAGCAATCGCTTTGAAAAAAAAAGATACTACATACACACACATTTAATACATTCATGTTTACATACACAGTATACAATTTTTTGTTCATTGTTTCGATAGCACAGATCAACCGATTTGAATGATTTAAAAAACATTCGATTCGTATTGACAAAGAGAGCAATCGCTTTAAAAAAAAAACGTACTACATACACACACACACTTAATACATCCATGTTTACATATACAGTATTCAATTTTTTGTTCACTGTTTCGATAGCACAAATCAACCGATTTGAAGGATTTAAAAAACATTCAATTCGTATTGGCAAAGAGAGCAATCGCTTTGAAAAAAAAAACATACTACATACACACACACTTAATACATCCATGTTTACATACACAGTATATAATTTTTTGTTCACTGTTTCGATAGCACAGATCAACCGATTTGAGTGATTTAAAAAACATTCGATTTGTATTGACAAAGAGGGCAATCGCTTTGAAAAAAAACATACTACATATACACACACACTTAATACATCCATGTTTACATACACAGTATATAATTTTTTGTTCACTGTTTCGATAGCACAGATCAACCGATTTGAGTGATTTAAAAAACATTCGATTTGTATTGACAAAGAGGGCAATCGCTTTAAAAAAAACATACTACATATACACACACACTTAATACATCCATGTTTACATACACAGTATATAATTTTTTGTTCACTGTTTCGATAGCACAGATCAACCAATTTGAGTGATTTAAAAAACATTCGATTCGTATTGACAAAGAGAGCAATCGCTTTGAAAAAAAAATCAATATTTACAAAAAAAAAAAACTTTTTTTTTTAAATATTGTTGTTTTCAAAATTTTCAAAAAATGTTAATGGTAAAGAATGTTAAATTATGGTACAGAAAGTTCCAGCAGTTTGCCTTATCGGTAGATGCCATGCACTACTAGTTGAGATATTTTAATTATTAATTATTGGTATATGCTAATTGGTATATTTTTTACATACAGATCTTTCCATGAAAATGCCAATTCTAGATTCGTAGTCAGTTCACCATCATCTTCCCATTAGTTGATCTCCTTCTTCTAGTTGCTAATTCTTTTCCACTTTTCCACTTTGTATACGAATTAGTCTAGCATTAATTTCTCAAATAGAAAATCCGTTGATGATATCAACAACAATGGTTCTTCGAATGCGAAACAATTCGAAAATGGATCTTTGAAGTCTTTTGAAAAGCGTTCGTTATTTCGTTTGTTAGGAAAGAGATGTTTATCGCGAGTAGAAAGTGATTTCATTTGTACGAGCTTGTGAGGTGTCTCGTTACGGTCGGTAAATGCTCCACATCCGATATCTTCGCCGTACGTGTGCTCCCTTCGCCGAACGCCACACATGGATCTGTTGATCACCCCAGGGCCGCATTTGTAAATGACCAATAAGGATAATCACCCTTACTAGTCGGTAAACGACACTCTTGGTCATTTTTGGGAGAAGTTTGGATATTGACCACATCTGGTTAATAAAGATCAACTTTCGAGAATTTTGGAAAGAAGTGCGGATATTGACTACCACTGATCTATAAAGATCCACCCTTGAAAGTTTTTGCAGGTTATAGATATTGAATACTCTTGCGCATAAAGATTCACTCTTGTCAATTTTGAAGAAAAGTATAGATAATAACTTCCGCTAGTTTAGATATTGATACTGGTCCATAAAGATCCACTCTTCAAAATTTTGGAAACCAGGTTGGATGTTGGCCGCCTCCAGTGGTCAATTAAAGATCAATTCTTGATAATTATCGAGTGAAGTATAGATATTGGCCACCACTGGTTCATTAAGATCTTGATGATATTGAAGAGATTGTTAGGTATTCACTACTGCTAATTCATTGAGTTCACTCTGAGATTGACCATCACTAGACAATAAAGATCCACTCTTGAAAATTTTGGAGAAATGTTTTGACATTGACCACTACTGGTTCATTAAGATCTATTCTTGATAATACTGGAGAGGTGGTTAAGTGGACTACTGCTAATTCATTAAGTTCCACTCTTGAGATTTTCTAAAATTGACCATCACTAGACAATAAAGATCCACTCTTGAAAATTTTGGAGAGATGTTTAGATGTTGACCACCACCGGACCTGTTCATAAAGGTCCACTCTTAAAAATTCTGGAGAGATATTTTGACATTGACCACCACTGATCTATAAAGTCAACTCTTGAGAATTTTGAAAAAAAGCATTATATTGACCATCACTGGCCTATAAAGTTCTAGT